CAAGAAAGAGCACAGCCGTGATGATGGCCGTGTGTGGACCATGCAGCAGGAACTCTGACCCTCTCAGCTAGAGGTATTCCTCCTTCATCTGAGGTCCATGTCACGTTTTATGTGGCTCTTTTATGATACTTAGCCCGCCCTGCCATGCAGTAGATGTTTGTGTCCAGGGCTCATTTCCTCCACAACAAGCTTAAGGGTCTAAGTGTTTCTGTTTTCATTCATTCCACCATTTCACTCACTCAGGAAGGTCTCTTATGTGTAAGGAACTGTTTCAGGTGCTGGGTTTGGGAACAAGACACCAAGAGTGCTTTCCTTCACTGCTCCAGCATAGCCTTTGTGCACATACACCAGGGAATGCTCAATAAAGATCTCAGTGTAACCGATGAATGAAGCAACGGACCAATGAACAAACAGGCCTACGGTGGTCACGACTTTGAGTGAATAATAGTTGGATGGTCACAAGGTGTTCAGGACTCCTTGGGCACCTGAAGGCATTGGAAGCCAGGCCCTAGGGGGATGGCATCATTCTGGCATTGACACCAACACTGACCAACCTCCACTGTCTTGGAGTCCATGGCATGGCCACAGCATCATCGCACCGGCCATCAGCTTATCTTTTTCCCTCCAGTTAATAGTGGGGCCGTCCCTCAGCACTTTACCTCTCCTCACTAAAATGGCTCGAAATTGTGATTGCACAGTGCCCGACTCACCAACCCTGCAGAGCCCAGATTTTTAGAAATTTTTGTTTTGAAAAGAATTAAAGCTATTGAAGTTTTCCCCAGAGGCTCTAATTACCCTGAGCTGGCTCTTTCTCTCCCCCATTTCTATTCATGAGGGTAACAAGAGCTTACTGTGAGCGCTCACACAGGCCAGGCAGGTTCTAAGTGAGCTATGCAATCATGGCGTGTCACTAATAAACAGTTTACCTCACTCTGCTGGCCGGCATGTAGGCTTTGCTTCTGGTTTCTCTTCAGTATTATGTTTCCTTTGTCAACTACGAAATCATTTCCTTGTTGCTGGAAATACACATCACATTTAGGCCAAGCTGTTGCTAATATCTTAAAAAGAAAAGAAAAGGCAGTTTAAGTATAACCATCGAAAGTATCAATTCCAGGTAATCATGATTCTCATTGGAAAGCCTCCGGAAGAAGTAATGCAGACAATTTATAATTTTTTGTTTTTTGTGAAAATGGGGAAATTTTTGGTGGTCCTAACACCACATGTTGGGTTTTCTTTTTAAAGGATGCTAGTAAAATCCTAAACTGGGAAAACATTCAATTCTTACTTACTGGTTTTGTGGTGTTTCAGAAAGTATAAATGCCATGTTTAAATGTTGGATGTCAAGAAGGAAGTTGAAGAAAATCAATGACAGACATGGCATAGAAATTCAAAAAATTAATCAACAGTGTAACTTTTGACACTCTCCAGTCCAGTTCTTAGTGTTTGTAGATTTTGGTCTTACAAGTTCATGCGAGAGGTTATTTCAGCATAGCCAAATTCCACCAGCCACGCTAAAGGAGAGAGAAATCACATTCATGCAACTCTGATTTCCTTAAAACACTAGTTTTTATGGGCTTTTCTTTTTTATCATCTCCTTAGTCACTCAGTTGCCAACCCAGTGAAAATCTCCAATTGTTCCGTTTCCCAGTTTTTACTGCATCCTGGATATTGGTGTCTCCCTGGTCAATGAAAATATTGTTGGTTTTACAAAAAAGATTTTTAATTTAACAGGCACCCTAGTTGTTTGCCAGGAGCTTGCAGCCTGGAGGTCAGCTGCAGCCTGCTTCAGGAACCTGGTTTATTTCAGCATTTACTATTCTGCCCCTCAGCCATGCTCTCTGCGCAGCTCCCAGGCCTCTCTGTGGGGAGGACCCTTTGGATGGGCTGCTCTAGGACAATGTCCCTGTGTCCTTTTCTTCCACCAATTGTGTTCACCTTGTAACACAAAATTATAAACTATTTCACTGATATTATGTGGAAAATATATTTTATGGACTTGGCATTTATACTATATTAAATTCTATACTATCTTAGATTCAATATTAGCTTGTTGTGACTTTAAACCACATTTTCTCTACAAGTTGTTCCTGAAAGAAGGTAAACCAGTGCTTCCCCAACCGCACAGGAATCACCTGGGGCTCTTGTTAAAATGCAGACCTGATTCAGTAGTCTAAGGGTAGGTCTGAGTATCTAATGAGCTCCCAGTTGATTCAATATTGCTGGTCAGCAGACCACATTTTGAGTAGCAAAGGTATACACTGCCTTTGGAAGAGCCACCAGGAAAGTTAATTGTAATTCTTCTTGGTTCTCCAATTACAGTATTAAAACAATTATTCATAAGATGCGGTCTTGGGTTTACATTCCTTCCTGTTTCCATCTGCAACCTTTCTCTTCTCTCTGCTACCACTTCACTTAGATCCTTATCTGTTCCCGTCTAGACTATTGCAGACGACTCTTCCCTCCCACCTGGGCTTCGCTTCTGTTAGATTAAGTTTGCATGAACACTGAGAACAGTCTTCTTTACATCATTCCATTCTCTTGCTCAGAAAGCTTCAATGAGTTCTCATTGCCCAAAGAATAAAGTTTAGGCTCCTTAGTAGAAGAGTGTAATTTTGTTTTTCAATACTTCTTCCCTAATTAAACTCCCTGCTCTAGCAGTGAATATACCTGCATTGTTTCTCCTCTGAGCTGTTATTTATAAGACTTTGGCTAGACTGTCCTCTCATCTATTTCACCAATCAGAATCCTACTGTTTTCAGTTCTCTGGCTACCTTATTCTGCCTTTGTGTTAAGCCCATTCATAAGGGATCACTCCTGGCTCTGAAATCCTAACACACTTATTGACTCTCCTTGTCATACGGCACTGGCCCATTCTCTGCCATCTTGAGCTATGTAAATGTACTAGCTATAGTAAAAACTCCTGGGACCAGGACCCTAACTAATCCCTTGCTATACGGCCCTTAGCCTGGAACAAATGGATAGGCAACATTTTAATGGGTTAAGGGTAAGAGTTTTGAAACCAGGTGCACCTGGGTTTCCCCCTCTCCCCCACCACCATCCACCAGGTGTATGACTTTGGGCAAATTACTTAACCTTGCTAAAGTTTTCCTTCATCTGGAAATTAGGAATGATAATACTTAGATTGTTTGGAGAGTTAAATGAGATAATGTATATAAGGGTGAATTACAGAGCATTAAATAAATGAAATAATAATACTACAGCAGCAGTGATAGCATAGAAAGCATACCAAAAAATTGTTAAATGAATGTGGAATTAAATGGTTCCTACATCTTTTCTAATACAATTAATGTCTTAAGCAGAGGAAGAAAATTATTCACATTATTGCATTTTAAGCATTCAATATCAATCCCACCTTGAATTTCCTTTCTTTTGTCATAGGTCTTATTATCCAATCTTTTAAGGACATTTAACTTGCCCTTTAAACCTATTCTGTATCCTTGATATTTTTCTTTAAGCCACGGAGGGAGTAATAAGGCTTCATGTAACGAGGGACATGACCTGCTAACAAATGAAACCAGCATTGTTGCAGACACTCGACTCGTGACGCCTGGTTCAGAGCTGTGTTAGCGTACTCAGTATTTTCCTATTTAATTGATAACAGGATAAACGTTCATTCAGGGTGTGCTGTGTGCTGGGTGCTGCACCACACGGCTATACTGAATACATGTTAAGTAACAGTTCTTCTATTTTAGAAAACCATGTTTTTTTTTTGTATTTTCTTTTCTAAAAAATGGGAACTAGTTATGGCCTAAAATATAACTACCAATATTCCTTTCCAAAAGTTATCTTTTTGGCCACCATCACAAAAATGCAACATTAAAGACCATGAAGAAGAATCCGGACATAGGATTGCTTCATTTTGATTGCGCCCACTGCAGGTGTACGTCTAAGTGGGGACAGCGAAAGTCTCCTGTTCTTGCCTCAATTTCAATCAGTAAAAGACCGAATTCCAAGCCTCCTAAGGGGCATTTTCATTCCTCCCTGCCAACAGTGTCCAGACAGGAAAGAGATTCAAGGAACAACTTGGTCATAGGAACCTGGAATGGGTTCCCTTGTTTTCTTTATCTATCCAAATCCTGTCTTTAGAATAGATTTCCATGTGCTTTTTCTCCTTAAGGACCTTTACCTTGACTTACATTTCTTTTGCCATATTCCTGTCTGTGGCTGGAGTCACACTCTTGAGAACCTACCTTATATACCTTATTCATTCATTCATTAGCAAATATCTATAAAGCTCCTACTATGTGTTAGGCACACTGTGCGAGGCACTAATGCAACAATGATGAATGGTGTATACCTTCCCCTCCTCCCCACTCTTTTATAGCTTATAGTGTTATGAGGGAGACAGAAAAGTAGAGGTTCAATAAACACATTTTAGGGCCAGGCACGGTGGCTCATGCCTCTAATCTTAGCACTTTGGGAGCCCCAAATGGGAGGATCACTTCAGGCCAGGAGTTCAAGCCCAGTCTGGGCAACATAGCAAGACCCTCATCTCTACAAAAAATAAAAAAATTAGCTGGGCATGGTGAGCATGTGCCTGTGGTCCCAGCTATTTGGGAGGTTGAGGTGGGAGGGTCACTTGAAGCCTAGGAATTCTAGGCTGCGGTGAGCTATGATCATAACACTGCACTCCAGCTTGAGCAACAGAGTGAGACCCTGTCTCCAAAAAACAACATTTTATCTGTTTTATCTAATGGTTGCACTGAAAGGGCAAGAGTCAACTCTTTCATCATAATTTGATCAAATCTACATATATGTACCAGGCTCTGTGCTAGAACTGAGGTACAAAGAAACAAAACAGACTTCTCTCTCAAGTATTTATATAATCTGCAGTTGCAAGATACAACAAACTCTCCTGTGATCTGCGTCTGTGGGCAAAAGCACTCTAGGTATTTTAACCACGATCTCAAGTGCTGCTGAGTGTATTTACTGACGTGCCATCAAATGAAGTCTGCAGACAGATTAAATGAAATACACACCAAAGGCGCAAGTCCTTGGAGTGGCGTGGCTTCCTCTGCCTCATAGAGATGGAAATTCAAAGGAGCAAAGAAGTACCCAGGGGCTGGTTCGGTGCAGCTGCGGCCAACAATGTGTGGGCGGCATTCACACTGCCCATCCTTCGGTGAGCACCTGAGGAAAAAACAATCCATCACAAAAAAACGTAGAGGGGGGTGAGCGTAAAATGAGTGTGTGGGGTTGCTGGGCTAATGCCCCCGAGTTTGCACCAATTCTTGGAATTGATCCATCAATAGTCCTGGGAGGACGCGGAGCAGCGGTGGGCTCAACAACACCGATCTTGAAAACGAACCCAGGCAGCCACTTCTTTCCCTGGTGGCTCTCTGGTTCTGTTTTAAAATCTGGGAAAAGACGAGCATTAGGACCTCTCTTTACAGGATGGCAAAGAGCTGGTGTTTTCGGCAGGTCAAGTGACGTGTGTCCAGGCATCTATCCCAGCAGCTCATGGGATACCCAGGCAAGAAGATTGTCTACCTCACCCTTGGAAATATCTGAATTAAAAGAAATCAATGCGGTTGCGGTTAACACCTTGAGATATTTGCTTGTCATGGAATAAAATTCTTCACCTGTGACTATGAGCATATTAGAATAAAATGTGCTTTTATGTGAAAATAAGGACTATTTCTATAGAATTTCATCATTCACTTTACTGACTTACATGTTAGAATAAGCACCTCCAATGTCACAGTCACAGGGAGAACACCCACGGAGATGATTTCCCAGGCCCCAGTATCCAACCTGCAGAGAAAAAAGGCTCAGTTGATTCCAGCTGTAAAGATATTTGCTGCTCTGTAGTGTAATATTATAATCACTACAATGCAATCGCCACATATCACATAGCTAAACAGCCTGAACAATCACAGAGCAGCCTTCCTTGACTGCACACTTGGTGAATGATCTCCATGGACTCATCTCCCAGCTCCACGACTTGAAGTAAAGGGGACAGGCAGGTTGTCCATGTTTCAAGTGTCCAGTGGAAATGCAATGGAATGCACATGATTCCTCTAATAGCATCAGTTTATGCTAAAGCTGGATCACTGAATACTTCCTGGAGAAGTTCTTCTACCAGCCTATTTGCAAGTGCTTTAATAAAACTGATAGGTCCCCTTGCCACAACAATCCCTAGGGATTTTATGTACACAGTTCTGAAGTATGGAGGTAGAAAAATCAATCAAGCTGATTTGGAGATATGCGAATATCACCATTTAGTAGAGTCATTTATTTGTGAGAGTCAGTTGTTTTGGCATAAAGTGAACCTGTGTGACAGAGTCAACTCTGCTGTTGAAGACTTTTTCATCATTGCAACATCCTGACCTTTATTCAATTTAAACAGCTGGTGAGATACAAACAACTATTTTTTGAGTCTGATAACATTCAGTATAGAATGCTCAGAAAAATACCTCCCCTTCCAATTTAATTTAACCTGCTCTGCTAAAATTTAGACTCTTGTTTGAAATGGTCTTGTTAAGTATCCATATCCTTTTGTTATCCCGGCAAAATTCTATGCTCGGTTTTACTCAGAAAGATTTATTTTAAACATTAAACATTGATGTCTTTGGACACAATGCAACAAAGGACTTTTGATATTTTTCCCAAAACCAAACTTGAGTTTAAGAAAAAAAAAAAAAGGGGGACATGAACTGCTTCCCTCAGGATGTGGCTGTGAAAACCCCTCTAGGCCGCGGTCTGCTGTCGTGTTGGCCAGCTCAGCCCAGACCCAGGGCAGCATTGGATGCATGTGGATATGGAGCGCATCGTGGGTGCCTGGGCTTAGCTGAGGTGGACAGCTGCCCACGGGGCGGCCCCTGGCGGCTATTTCCCTCCTGCGAGTAAAAATGAGTTTGCATAGCACACGTAACAGTCAACCAGCCAGTGAAAAAGGTCAGCCTGAGCCAAAGGCTTGTCTGGAATTTTCTGACTTGGTATCTTTGTTGATTCTGTGACCAACTATGCACCCTTCCTTGTGTGACACACCTGTGGTCATAGATATTGGTGTGGCCAACCTTCCTCTTTTATGTAAAACGATTCGATTCCCTGACCTGTCTTACAGAGTCCCTTCTTCATATGTCCTTCCGTCCTTCTTTTCCCCACCTTCTCTGTCCCAACCTGTTTTTAGTAAAATGACTTAAAATATTAGCACAAAACTATGTCCCTAGGCATATGTTTCTTATTTATTGGCTATATTTCTTCAGACACATCAAGGTCACTGTTCTTTTATTAGGTTAAGTTTTTTTTGTCTTTTTCTTTCTAAAATGTCATCGTGGGCTGCCAAGATTGGAGAACAAAGAAAAGAGTAGTGTTTGAGTTCCCCCATTGCATGACATGTTTCTTTTGGAGTGAAATGGTTTCATTTTACTAATTTTAGAACATACATGCTCGTGTGTTTAGTGAAGTCTGTGAAAAATCCAAGAGTTTATTTCCCACAGGAATCTGAAATACATTTAAACCTAAGTTTTTTTTTTTTTTTTTTTAAGAGCTCATACAAAATATTTTTTAAGCAGGGAAAGGTAGGGGATTGTGTACAAGAGACAGAAGAAAGGCCCCGTGGTCTGGTGTGCCAAAAAAGTGGGCAGATGAATGCTCTTCTCTTCTACTGCTTGGCACTTTCAGGAAAACAATGGGTAAGCCCATTGACATCTGTGCCTGGGCTGGTTCAGTCCAAGTCAGTGCTGTGCTGGTAAATGTTTAATAGCCAGCTCTCTGCGGGGGCGGGGCGGGGGGAGGCTGATGTATAATGTTTGCCCATTTCTGTAGTTAAATACTCACACCACGGGAGTACTGAAATACAATAGAACAAGGAAAGAGATTAACAAGGCCAAGTCTCTTCTCTGCAATGGCCATAGACATCTGCATCACTTTATAAAAGGAAAATTGCAGGCAAATACGTACAGCGCATTCATCGCAGCGTGGCCCAGTGGCATATGACTGGCACAAGCATTGGCCTGTATCCACATCACAGGTCGAGAGTGGCAGACTCCCAAGGGGGTTACAGTTACAGGCTGAAAGCACAGCATACACAGTTATTCTCATTCTTAATTCCTCCACTCTTGTCAATGCCCTTAATAGCTCATACCACACAAAAAGCATAGCCACAATAACACAGAACCGCCTGCCCTGCCAGGTTCATTGTCTGCCTGGCTGCATGATCATTGTACTGCCTATAACCTCACACAGGAAATCCTGTGCCAGACACTTCCAGAGCCTGATTTAGCTCTACTGAATGGCAATTAGGAAGAGACAAGTAGAAAGCTGTGCAAGCTGGAGTACTGGCACAGTTATCCTGAGTGATGCTGACCAGGTTGTGTGACTCTGGGGCAAGAGTTTCTGAGTGTCACAGTTATTATTGACAGCTCCTTTTTTGGCAGATGCATCTATCATTGCTCTTTCTCTTTTCTTTCTTACTACCTTGTTAACTTTTTCTCTTCATTCTCTGCCTCCTTTTTCTCCTCTGAGTCCTCCTTGCATTGTGAAGTCTAAGAAGCTATGCTACCAGAGCCGGGTATACCCTTCCCCTGCAGGAAAGCCAATGTTCATGGACACGGCTCAAATGTCCATCAACTGATGATTGAACAAATGAAATGTGGTATACCTATGCAATGGAATATTATTCAGCAATAAAAAATGAAGTACAAGCTACCACATGCATGAATCTCAAGAACATTATGTTAAGTGAAACAAGCCAGTCACAAAAGACCTCATAGGATTCTATTTGTATGAAATGTCCATAACAGGAAAATCTATAATGACAGAAAATAGAATAGTGTTTGCCTAGGGCTGGAAGAGTGGGATATAGGGAGGTGGTAGCTGAAAGGGTATGGGGTTTCTTTTTTTTTATTTTTGAAAAAATAAAATTTATCATCTTAACCATTTTTAAGTATACAGGTCAGTTGTGTTAAGTACATTCACATTGTTGTGCAAGCGATCTCTTAAACTCTTTTCATCTCGCACAATTGAAACTGTGCTCATTAAACAACTCTCCATTCCTCTTTCGTCCAAGCCCTGGCAACCACCATTCTACTTTCTGTCTCTATGATTTTGACTACTCTAGGTACCTCAGATAAGTGGAATTATATAGCATTTGTCTTTTTGTGACTGGCTTCTTTCACTCAGCATAATATCCTTCATGGTCAACCATGTTGAAGCAAGTGTCAGAATTTCCTTCAAGACTGAATAATATTTCATTGTATATATAGACCACATTTTGCTTATCTATCACCCACCAGTGGACACTTGGTTACTTCCACCTTTTGGCTATTGTCAATGTTGCTGCTATGGATATGGGTGCACAAATATCTCTTCAAAACTCTGCTTTCAGTTCTTTGGGGCATATACCCAGAAGTGGGGTTTCTTTTTTGTGGTGAGAAAAATATTCTAAAATTGTGGTGATGGTTACACAACTTTCAATATACTAAAAATCATTGAACTGCATACTTTAAAGGGTTAGTTGTATGGTACATGAATTATATCTCAATAAAGCTGTTACAAACGCACACAAAATAATGTTAGCCTGTTCTTGGAGGGCATCGGGTTAGTCAGAGAACAAGGAAGATGTGTGGAGTGTTGAAAGGTGCAACGGCAAATTGGTTTGACTATAAAATTCATTCTCATATTTCATTTTGCCACCAAATCTAAGAAGAACATTTTATTACAGAAAGATTCAGCCTCATGCTCTCTAAACATGCAAATAATCCACACTTCCTTACATAGGCAAACATATGGAGCATGATCCTGTGACCAAATGGAAATTATTTACTCAGATTCCCTAAGGAATCTGCAGCTCTACGAGGCCCCAAGCAGCTCTGAACTTCTGTGATCCTACAGCCAAGGGTCTGCCTATTTGGCCTCAGAAAACTGCTGAGGCTCTTTTCTATTTCCCTTCCATCTCTCCCCTCCCCTTGCCTCTTTAACTTTTTTCTTTTCTTTGTCAGACACCATATGGACCAATACTAGGAGGGGTGTGAGAAGAAAGGGAAAAAGTAATTAAAAAAATAAAAAGAAAAGAAACTAGCACTTGAAAATTGCCTAAGAAGACATCAATCTTGCAGAAATGCATAATGTAATTCAATGAATTTGAATGTAGAGTCCTAGTGGGGACCATTTTTCTAAAGGTTTCACAACTTGGCATTACATTTCTTGGCACTTTTCCCTGTGTTTGTTCCAGTGGGGAGATGTGAACACCCCCTGCTGGTCCTTTATGATAAACTCAGCAAACCAAGGAGCAAAGTTCTCCACTAAGTTCTTAAAATTTGCAGAAGTTACTGTATCACTTTTTAAAACCCAGAGGATTACAGGGGACTCTTATGCATTTACAATTACCCAATTCTAGGGCTGACAGAGACAACCCCAAGCTCTAAAATGTATCAGGGTTGGTGGCCCAGCCCCTGTGGACTTACGCTGACAGCCCAGGGGGTCGGTGGCGCTCAGGCCATAGTGGTTGGGCTTGCACTGGTCGCAGTTGGCTCCTTCCACGTTCTCCTTACATAGGCACTGGCCGGCCACAGATCCCACTGCAGGGTCAGAGTGGCTCACACAAATGCCTCCAGACACGGTCCCATCAGGGTCACATTCACAAGCTGGGAACACAGACATGTATTGTCTCAGTTAGTTGCAAATCGTGGGAAGACTGAAATATAAGCATAGCATTTTACCCACACTATAACTTTCTTACTTTGTTTAAAAAATTAAATATGTTTAAATAATTAGACCAACAGGCAAGGGCTGTTTGGAAATGTATTCCAGATCTCTGGCCTTGGAAAATGTTGAATAATTCCATATATATATATCTTAAAAGATTTGCAAATGATTCAAAAGTCAGAGGACCAGAGCAAGACTGCTACTATGAAAACTGGATGTTAGGAATAGAATGATTCTTTTGGGGATGATGAAACGTTTTAGAACTAGGTAGATGTGGTGGTTGCATGACATTGTACCAGTGAATTGTTGTTCATTTTAAAATGGTTAATTTTTATATGAATTTCTCCTGAAAAATAGATTGAACAAAAGAAAAAGACTCTAAAGGTGAAAATAAGGCCATGAAATAAGTGTGGGATGTTGTAATAACATATTTATGTCATTACAAGGGACATGAGAAAGAAAGAGAAATCACGGAAAATGTCTACCAAAGCTCTGAAACATAGTTAAAAGGGAAGTCTTTCCTTCTCTATCATAGAGAAACATGTCACCAGGAAAGTGACATTCTTTTTGATCCTTCCTGGAAGGAACACCTATAAAAAAGAAAGAGAGGGAACAGTAAGAGATATTCATACCCTTGTTCTCTTTTTAGAAATCTGCTGGTGGGATAAAAAGCCTGGATGAAGAGATTCCGAAAAATGGAATAAACAGTCACCTCTAGCCGAGAAGCAACAAAAGTAGCAACTCCTTCCCCCCTTTTTTAAAGTTGAAATTTGAACACCTCATGGATGGCATGTCATATGAAAAAGAATGCTGACAGTATGATTGATCGAGGATGAGGAAGAACTCTCTAACAGCGAGGGCTGCCCAATACATCTGAACCCCTCATCATTGGAGGTACCCGGTAGATGCTGAAATGGCACTCGTGGCTTTGGCATAGAGGACAAGTGTGCTTGTGGGCATTAGATGTTCACCAAGGTCTCTTGTACCTTTGTGGTACTGTGTTTCCAAGGGATTCTACTTTTAAGAAATGCAATAAACATAAAAAATTAATATCCTGATTTTAAGGAACAATCACGTTCACAATTATACACGTTTGCTTTGGATTACTAAAAACAAAACTCTTAAGTCTAAAACTATGTCAATATAACAGCCATTTAGGTTAGTGAGTTTAGTGGAAAAAATCCAGTCTAACCAGTTGTTTGGAGTCATTGAAGCAAAGGGGCTTAGCTGTCTGACAGAATCTTTCAAGTTTCAATTGCTTGTTACTGGTTTGTGACTGGTGATAAAATCTTACTATGGAAAAACAGCATTGGGTTCTGTTTAGTTTAGAAAAACCACAATTTGCTTCTAATTAAATCCAGTTGCTTCTAGAAAGAAGGGAATAAGCTGGATTCATTTTAGAAGTTGCCAAAAGGAAAAAGCTCAGCTTTATTTTGGAGATATTCCAAAGGATCGGTATTGAGTCCCAGAGTATAATTTAATTATGCACAGAAGTATCCTCTGGGAAAGGGATGTGAGAGGGTAGATAGTAACTTTACTTGGAAATAAGTAAAAGTAAACTTATGTAAGGCCTTTAGAAGTCCAATAAAACCTATGTCACAGCCTTTAGAAGTCCAGTAAAACCTCTTGCTGTCACATAATTTCGTTCTAGCAAACTTTATTATCCGTGGTTGAATCTACCAAATCTTTGTTTTTCTGTAGCAAATTTAACTGTTAATTGTAGAAAACCCCAAATTAGTCAACTCTTATGCCTGGAATCTGTTTATGTAAATATTTAGGTTCAAACAAGGACAACTTAGAGAAAATTTACATGAGAATGCTAATCAATCTTCTTAATACACATCATCTGTATACACAGACATAAACACATGCTTAGGTAACCTGAAGGAAATGGGGGAGTCTTGTGACCAGAGTTTGTTGCAAGCTCCTCATCTGCCTTTTATGGAAAAATTCCTTGTTTACAAAGAATGATTTTTTAAAAAAAATTTGTTTTGCTTTGTTTTTGTTTTTTTTAATTTTTTTTTTCTATTTTCTAGAATGACTTCTTAATTTCACATCAGGTATGTATACAAGTTTTCTTTCCTTGGTTTCTTTCAAAAGCACTATCAAGTTAATACTAAGTCGATCTTAAGGAAAAAGATTGGTTGATTTGTTCAAAATATTTGGTTTATTATTTCTAAATCTCTTTCCAGATTCCTAGATTATTTGTTTCAAAACACTGTATTTTCCTGACTCTACCCAAGAGAGCAATTTCAACGTCTTTTGTAAATTCATAGCTTTTAAAACAATAAAAGATGTTAGCCAATGAGTGGTGGCTCATGCCTGTAATTTCAGCACTTTGGGAGGCGGAAGTGGGAGGATGGCTTGAGGCAAGGGATTCAAAGAGCAGCCTGATTTTATTAATCCAATGGAAGAACAGGCACCACTTGTACTCGCCATCAAATTGGCACTAACTGATCAACACTATGGTGCTCACACAGTAGTAATATTCTTCAGGGATTGCAGGGTTGAGGGTGGGTAAACTCACAACTCATGGACGCGGTGAGCATGATAGGGGGGAAAAGGCACACCCCAAATCATGGTTTGGGTGTGGCAAAGTCATAACATGTAACCAAAATGTTTGTACCTCCGTAATATCCTGAAACAAATAAATAAATAAAAAAAGAGCAGCCTGAGCAAAATATCGAGACCCTGTCTCTACAAAAAATAAATTAAAAAAAAATTATCTGGGCATGGTGGTGTGTTATCTATAGTTCCAGCTACTGGGGAGGCCAAGGCAGGAGGATTGCTTGAGCCCAGGAATTTGAGATTTCAGTGAGCTATGATTGCACCACTGCACTCCAGCCTGGGCAGCAGAGAGAGCAAGATCCTGTCTCTAAAATAAACAAACAAATAAAAAATAACCAAAAAAGAACAAAAGGTGTGTATGATTACAGATTCTGGTAAAAATTGGAAGACAGGAAATTGCTCTAAAGAAACATATTAAGAACTGGATTCTCAGAAAATATCAATTTTGAAGTCATGTAAGATAAATTTTATGAAATTAGATATCTCCTAAATAATCTGAGCAAAAACACCTCATTGATGCTTTTTCTATATTGTAATCATTTAAAGTTTGAAATCTAGGACATTGAATGTGTTCAGATGGCTACTGAATTACTTTTGTATAAGACTTCATTTCATGTGTCATGATTATGTGAAATTTCAAGTTACGTTTTTTTTATAGCAGACACCCTCCCACTCCACTTTAACATTATATTGATGATACAGCCTAAGAGTCAGGATCCAGGTATGGGGGTAAGCAGTCCTCCACGGCTGCTGGGTGCCGACTGTGCAAGGCCCTGCCTGCTCCTACCTCAGGCTATTTCTCATGGTTGTGTTTGCAGCAAGCAACCTTGAGACATGAGGTAGCATCTTCCCCCAGACAAAAAGCAGGCTGGCTTCCACTCGCTATAAGGCAATGAATGAACCCTCTGAGTTTAGTGTTCTCCAGCTGTGAAGTAAAATCACTAGGCGTGCAGCATCCATATGGTATACTTTGTGTTGCCACCTTTGGGACTTGGGGACATGGGAACCCAGGACAATACAATGATCTTGTTGCTCGCTATACCATAAGTTATAAAGTCCTTTGTTTTTGGCTCAGGAGTTTCGCATCTTCTGCTGGTATCTATGAAACAATAACAGGCTAATTTCTTAGTTTGCAAGTAGAATATGATCTTAGACCCAGTTACTGACACTGGGTATTTGAAATTAGATCAGAGTATTTATCTGGGCAATAATGTACAGCAGTGATGGGACTAGAGTGAGCTAGCAAGTTACCCTGGACACAAAATTTAAGGAGGTACTTACTCTCAGGTTCGTGCAAGCGGCAAGTGTCAGCTTTGCACTTTCATGACCCTGACAGTGAGTGAGTTCTTAAATTTTGGGACCTAAGTACTCTCCTTGCCTCACTCTAGTCCCAGTCCTGCAGGGAAATGCAAATTAAAACAATGATGAGATACCATTTCATTAGCAAAAATGAAAATGTAACAAAACCAATATGAGCAAAAATTGAAGTTTGACAAAACCAAGTGTTAGCAAGGATATAGAGCCATAGGAACTCTCATACACTATTGTTGTCAGTGGTAATCAGCATGCCCACTTAGGGAACAATTCAGTATTATCTAATCAATCAATCAGTATTATCTAATCAATCAAATCCATACCCCATGGCCTACAAATTATACTTCTAGGTATGTCTCTTAGAGACAGTTTTTGCACATGTGCCCAAGGTCATATATGCAAGAACGTTTATTGTAGCATCAGAAGAAAAATGGACAAATAAATTTTGTCATATTTATAGGAAGGAATTCTATACAGAAATTTAAATGGAAGAATTAGGGCTACCTGATACGGACAAATCTCAAAAATATAAAGTTGCATGAAATACCCAAGTTGCTGAAGGATACATACAACATGGTATCATTTATCTAAAGTTTGAAAACACACCAACATATAATGCTTTGAATAAAAACACATGTGAAAACGTAAAAACAAGCATGGTAATGATGAATGCCAAATATATGAGAGCGTTGACCCTCAGCAAGAAGAGTAGGGACAGAGGTGTCCCTGCTACATTAATAGTGCCTGTCTTGCTTTATTAAAGAAAGTCCTAAGACACTAAGTTTTAACAAAGCTGGTGGTGGATATAAGGGTCTTTAATATATTGTTCTCTATTATTTTGTATACGGTTAAAATATTTCACTTTTAAAAGTTTAGATTAAAAATGAAAGATTTTTAAAGGTTGATTGATTGATTGATTGCAAGGTAAATAGGTCACCTCACTCATCTTAACAGCAAAATTCAATGGTCTACGGCCAGTCGAATGTTTTAGCCAATCTCACTACTTTAGTCACTTCTCCGGGCTGACTTCCATGATACCCAGGATGTCTGTGGCATCTTCCGAAAGCATCCGCCCCTCCTGGTGGAATCCAGAATGATTTCCCGATTCCCCAGTAACAGCCACTACCGCCACACTAGCAGGACGGACGCGGAGGATTTGGATCAGCTCGTTTGCAGGAAGAAGAGCTCCGACAGCTGAAGCGTTTGCAATCCTCCGCTCCCGCAGAGTTTGGAGGCGCTGTTAAGCAGAGTGGGCTGGCAGCTAAGTGAGACCCAACTGTGATCTGCCCAGACCGTGGCCGGGGACTTACGGATGCACGCGTAAGGATCCGAGATGGCCTTGAGGGGGTCCCTGTAGAAGAGCGGCCTGCAGCGGTCGCAGTGCTGCCCCTCGGTGTTGTGCCCGCAGCCTTCGCACACGCCCCCGCTGCGGCCGCCGCTCGCCTGGAACGCGGTGATGTCGAAGTGACAGCGGTCAGAGTGGCCGTTACAGCTACACGCTGCGAAAGGAGAGGAGAGTTACCGAGAGGTGTGTCCAGGCCTCAGGACCGCTGGTCACGCACCTGCTCATCCTCCGCGACCTCCCGCCACTCTGTGTAGATGCACCAAGCGCACAAAGGGTCTTTTTAGCAATCTGCCTCTGTTCGTATATTTTATACAAAATGTGTTCCCCAAACGTTTAATAGATAGTTTTTAAAAATCAAGCGAACAACAATAAACCATTTAGGTGCTCTAGAAGCAGTATTTGTAGTAGTGTTCTGTAATGAAGAATACTTCTACAGACCTACGATTTGTCAATTCCAGTTCTTTATGTGAAATGTTCTACATGTGCTGGGGTTCTCAGTTAAGATGTCAGGGTGAGGCCACTCGGCCTCTCTCCTTCCACAGGGGCAGAAGAGCAGGAAGGGCTGCAGGTCACTCTTCTCTCATCTGGGGCTGAGCCAGAGGACTGAGGGAAAGGCAGTCTGTCTGGAGACGTTTGTTTGTCTTCATGGTAACGTCTGCTCCATGATGTCTATGTTGTTTGTCCTGTTGGTTTTTTCCCAACTAGGGCCAGGCTGTATCTTGCTGGGTTTCCTATACTGTGACTCTCACCGATGAGGTTTTTCATTAGAGCTCTTCTAGAGACCTTTCATTCCCTTACATACTGTTTTTCCCAAGTCTGGGAAAAAGACTGAATAACAAGTTTGTTTGGAAGTCCATCAAAAATTCAGAGGCAGCAAACATGTTACTCTAAACAAAAACATCTTGTTCGCCTAAATATTTTATTTAAAAATGCAATAGCCTGTCAGACTCAATCCTGGACCTTATTTCTCCTGTTATCCTACAGATGGGTTCAAGGTCACATTCACAGACTGTGTGGTTATTCAGGAAGGCGGTAGGGATTTCTGCACTAAGTCTACTGTTCACCAAATTCTTGGAGTTGCACGGTCCCCATTGACATTGCCATTCCATGGCTCTGTCCCTCTTCTGGAAGCGTGCCACACAACATTCATACTGCTTCATTCTTAAAATGAGAGTTAATCTGTGGTGTGCGAGTTTGAGAAGTTGGTGATTCTCCCGTGTGAGAGACATCGGGGTATTCCACTAGGAAGCTGTGGAGCTGGGAGCCATAGCTTCACCATTTTGGTGCCTGCAGCCCCACAGAAAAGCATTGAGTGTTCTTTGAGATAAGCGCACACTCAGTTTATGCAGAGAACTTATTTTCACCCACGTCTGCAAGCGTTGTCCTGGCGGCCCGCAGCTGGCCTCCAAGGAGCATCCTGGAAGAAGTCCTTGCATCTCTCACAGTTCAGACCATCTGTATTGTGCTGACAGACACACCGACCATGAACCTGCATTGTGCAGTAAGGAAAAGGAGAGTTCAACGAGGGCTTATCTTTGAGGATGCTGGGGTTCTTTAAATGGAAAATGAAATACCAGGGCCACAGGGCCTCTCTTGTTCTCAGTTTCCCATGTGTAAATTACAATACCAACCTTGATTATCTTCTATTATTTCCTTAACTAGCTTTTAAATTTTTAAAAGTTTGCTAAGTTCAGTGACCATACATATTTACAACATATTTTTTTGGCATTTCTGAATTCTAGTTTCAGGGTAGCATGTTGCAGCCCTTGGTAAAATGAGGGACAGGATGGGAAAGGGATTTTTTTGTGGGTGGGGCATCAGGGGTGGTTTAGGAGCATATGGGATAATAGGGAGTTAGAAAAGAGAAGGAAGCTGAAGAAAGGCATGTGATGCTCTTGGATTTTCGCAAAATGCTCTAAATGGCCCACATTCAAAGAGAAAAGCTCTATGTCCCATGAAAGGCAGCAGAGTGAGAAGGTCCAATAGCCTCAACACCAAGCCTTATATCATTACACCTAATAAGTAGTTTAAATTTTTTTAGTAGACACACCCTGGGGCTCTGCATAAAAATACAATTCTTCTACTACACTAATCTTTTAAGGTTATTCCTCAAAATGAGAGAGATCTATAGTATTAAGACACAGACATTCATAGTGTAAGAATGTTACTTGGATTGACCATTTTTACAATGTCAGATATTGCTGAAACACCTTAGCATTGACTATAGGACCCAGCACACAATGGGCCTTCAGTAAATTTTTGTGAGAGAATGAACGTGGAATTATAATTCCTCCTCATCAAATTTCTATGTTCTATAAAACAAAGAAAAAGAAGGCAAAGTGGACTATCTTGAAATCACAAATTATAAATTCTGCTCATGAGTTCAACGATGTTCATATGAGGCAGAATCCAGAAGGACCTCTGTCTAGAGGAACTGGAAGGCCTTTGGCTTGCTGGGCTAGGTTGAATGACACCAGCTTCAACACAAAGCTGGCACTCTGGTTTGTCGATCTCCACATAGAGTGTCTGATCTACAGTTAGCACCAGGACAGTGAAAGGCAGGTAGAGAGCCAACTGCTTTTTTGGGTTCATAACTCACCATTTCAGGAGGGCTGAAAACATCTCCCCGCATCTGCTGTGTGGGGCCACATTCACTAGCATGGCCATTGCAAAAACAGCTGCCTTGAACAACCATCTCATACAGAGCATAGTAGTATTTATCAAGGGAATCACTGTGCCTCCTTCCAAGCACAGTATCCCCAAGGGTATGGAGTTTGGTAAAGTTTATCCTCAGGTTTGTCAATGTCACAAGGTCTGGACAAAGGAAAATAATGAAAATAATGAATCAAAGTACATGTCAGCTGTGTCAGTTCAAGGCAACCTCCTTGACTGGTAGCCCCTTAATGCCTATTGAAATGCAATTACAGAGCAAGATGGCTGACTAGAGATGCCAGGTGCACAAGAAAGGACCAAAGCAACGGATAAACACCTAAGATTTGACTGAAGTATGGAGGGGAGTGGGAAACACACCTATGGTGGGAATGTAAAGTAGTACTGCCACTATGGAGAACAGTGTGGAGGTTCTTCAAAAAGCTACAAATAGAACTACCATATGAGCCAACAATCCCACTACTGGGCATTTATCCAAAGGAAAGGAAATCAGTATATTGAAGAGGCACCTGCACCCCCATGTTTATAGCAGCACTGTTCACAATAGCCAAGATATGGAATCAACCTAGGTGTTTCTGCAACAGATGAATGCATGAAGAAAATGTGGTATGTGTATATGTATATATATACATGCACAATGGATTACTATTCAGCTATAAAAAAGAATGAAATCCTCTCATTTGTGGCAACATGGATGGAGCTGGAGGACATTATATCAAGCAAAATAAGCCAGGAACAAAAAGTTAAATATCACATGTTCTCACTCATATGTGGAAACTAAAAAAAGTTGCTCTCATAGAAGTAAAATGTAGAACAGAGGATATTAGAGGCTGGGAATAGAAGGGGGAAGGGAGGGATAGAGAGAGATTGATAAAGTATATAAAATTATAGTTAGATAGGAGAAATAAGCTCAAGTGTTCTATACCACAGTAGGATGACTACAGTTAGTAATATTATTGTTATATAGTTTCAAATAGCTGGAAGGAGGATAGTGAATGTTCCCAACACAAAGAAATGATAAATTTTGAGATGATGGATATGCTAATTACCCTGATCTGATCACTATACATTATATTAAATCACTATGTACCCCATAAATATGTAAAATTATTATATATCGATTACAAAATACCATTAAAAAGTTTTTTTTAAAAGAAACACAATTACAAGGAATATGCCAAACACAAAATTTTTAAAAAGGAGTTGATGTGAAAAATATAAAGGAATTCATACCTTGGATGTAGGGGCTGTAAGGGTTTTCAATTTCAAAACTAGGATCCAAAACTTTAAAAACAACCTGTAAAACAAATGTAGGTAATTTATAGTATATTACCCCAAAACATAATTGTCAAATGCGGTATTAAAGAAGAGATCCTGATCTTACAAGAAAGGCTGAGCCATTGCTTCCCAGTGGGTGTAGGATACAGATTATCATTTGGGTTAACATATGAATTAACGTACTGAGAACAAAAATGAATATAAGTAATTAATCAGGGTGGGGGGGTGGATGGGGAGAAATTACTTAATGGGCACAATGTATGTTATTCCGGTGATGGATACCCTAAAAGCCCTAACTTCACCAATACAAAATCTATACATGTAACAAAATTACACTTATACCCCATATATTTATACAAATAAAGAGCCAGTCATTTCTGGCTCTTTATGCAAAAGTAGAAATAGACAGAAATGGTAACAGGACTGGTGAAGAGGGCACCTGGGCTGGGATGGAATGGAGTGATGGACCAGTAAGCCATTATCAATTTGGATCCAGCAGGGAATTCTGGAGCTGTCTTCTGCTACCAATTCTTTCTGCTCTACCTGATAAAACCGTACCTACCCCCACAGCCCCACACCCCACACCCACCCTACCCCTCTGCCAGTCACCGGCTTTGCTCATAGGGTTGTTCCTGGTAGATTCCTCTGGGGTGGTGGTTTACAGCAGTGGTCCCCAACTTTTTTGGCACCAGGGACAGGTTTCATGGAAGACAATTTTTCCATGGGACGGGGGGAGGTGGGGCAGCTCAAACGGTGATGCGAGGGATGGGGAGCTGCTGTCAATACAGATGAAGCTGCTTGCTTTTCACCTCCTCCTGTGCAGCTCTGCTCCCTTCCTGAGTTTCATGGAAGACAATTTTTCCACTGACAGGGCAGGGGCAGGCAGAAGGGCAGTGGAGCTCTGTGGCCTAGTCCCAAACAGGTCACGGACTGGTTGAGGACCGCAGGTTTACAGAGCACGAGAACGAGACAGCTAAGGCAGGGCTGCTACTAGCCTGCACGGGTCCTTTGCAAGGGTTAGAAATGGGCCTTCCTTCCTCTGGGTGTTCTGGGCCATGGTGCCCAGTTTAAATTTTAGCCCCAGCTCACCCTTAGATGGGCACTCCTGTGTAGGATTACTCCTAATAATGCATTTATTATTTCTTATTCAGGACTCATTTCAATTTAGACACTTTCATTTTTAAGAAGCCAACAGCTCAAGTTACATTTCAGTGAACACTAGCTAAATTTTTTTCATTTAAGTTAATCTTATTTTTAACAGTTTAAGTAAAAGAAATACAAGTAAGGAAATGCTACCTCACCACCAGTTGAGGGTTCAATATCCGAATATTTGGAGTCACAAACAAGGTCTCCCACTCCGTGGGCCTGGCCAGATGTGATGTTGGGAAAGGAAGTAGCACAATCTTTTGCGAAATATTTGAACACTTTCCAGGTGTGTCCATAGTCTTGGGAACGTTCAACTAACATTGCAGCAGGCCGAAACGTCTATGAAAAAAATGGGTAAAAGTTGAAATGTTTCTCTAAGGCAGATTTTATCTACTTTGGATTGAATATTTATATTTTCTATTTTTTAAAACTTTATGTGTATCTTTTAAAATCTACTATACAATAAATATACCAAGATCTTTTTCCATTAAGTGGGCAAGTATTTATGAGTACATACTTTGTTC